GAATCCTACCCAGAGCTCCTGTTTTGGGACTGATGATGCCCAGAAGGAGAAAAGCAAGCCAAGCCCTCACTTGTTTTCCTTTGTCATCCTTTGCTGGATATCAAGTCCCTGTGTTCCCTGGCCACTTTCCCCTGTATAAGCTTCCTCGTCCTTGTTCTCACCAGCCCTCCCCTCTGTGGAGCTCCACTTGTTGTTTAACCCATTGGCTTCTGCTCCTTTCTTTCCTCCGTTTTTACTTTGTCTGAAGCTCTGGTTCCTCCGCTATGTCTTCCTCATCTTCCTCAGTCCCACAGCAGCTGTGGGGGTCTGACCAACCCTTTCCTCCCAAATCCTTGCCCAGAGCCACTCCTGCTCTGGAGGTACAGAACAGGCAGGGTGGCAGACCCGTGTTTCTTCAGTGCTAGTGCAGGTGGCCTGTGCTGGTAGCCCTAACATGGACAATTCCACTTTCCTTAGCCTTTCCGCAAGTTGAGCCTACACTTGCTAACAGTACTCGTTAATGCTGATTAGGCTGACTAATGTGACTCTTGTGCACACATCTAAGGGGCAGCAAACCCCATAGGGACAAGGAAGGAAGAAATTGCCTTTGCACATAGCTGGGCTGTTTCCTCTTTGCAGTTATCAAGACAGTTGTGGAGGAAGGGCAGAGCTTGCTCGGAGCCCAGGAGGAAGCTAGTCTGGCAGATAACCCCACGTGTGGAGTCAGGGGCTCCTTTTCTGGTGCAGAATTGGAGATTTTCAGCTTTGCTGACCCCAGCTATGTTTGCAGTATGACTGAGGGTTGGCTGTTCTCCACCTCTGCCTCGCTACAGGTTTCTGGGCTGTAATAGGAAATGCCTTGCAAAGACAGAAATGCTTTGAAACATGGGCTGTGCTGGATGCAACGCAGGTGAGACAGCAGGGAGAGAAAGAGGTTAAACTTTATTCCTGGGTACCCATCCCCTGGCATGCCAAAAGACTACAGACATCTGTGTGTTGTGATTCAGGCAGGTGAGCTCATGGTTAGCAGAGATCTCTTGTCCCAGGAATGGCTGAGATCCGAGGAAATATATGTGAGATTTCTCATGGTCTTTATTTGCTAGCCTCTGGGCAGCTGGTAGAAGAGGATATTTCTGATTCGCTTTATAGGATTTTAGATGCACAAGAGAACCGCAGCACATCAAAGAGGAATGAATGCTGTAATTCCCCTGGAAGGTCGAGGCTTTTTACAGAGCTCTTTATTGCTGTTAAGCTCTTTAGGGAACGCTGTATTCTGTCTATCACAGACTTGGTGGTGGTAGTATGATACTCAATGCCCATCCATCCCTATTACTATTTCAGCCTCTGGGTAATGATCCAGATCCTCAAAGGCTGTTAAGTGCCTGATTTAGTTTGAAACCATTGGGAATTTGGCATCTAAATCTTTAAATGCCCTGCAAAAGCTGACTTGTATGTGCTTTACCTTAACAGTCTCTGTATGTATTTAATGATGCATGGGGTTACTCACATTGCCCGTGGAGGCTTTCCTATTGTGTCGTGTGTGGCTTTGGTTATGCTGTTCTCACCAGAGAAAGGGCAGGTTGGGGTAGGAGTGGGACTATCGCAATCCCTGTGTTGGTGGTCACCAAGCAGCAACCCAAGAAGATACGCTGAGCAGAGGGATGGTGCAGGTCAAGGGGCAAGACACCTGGTCCCTGTCTCCAGAAACACAAAGAACTGGGGGAGGTTTCAGCAGCAATGAGAAGTGGCAGGTGGAAGGTACCATTTGGAAGAGTATTTCTGACGATAGCTGTGGTTTTGATACTGATTTTCAACATTGTGCTCTGAGCAGAAATGGGTGACTTTAAATGGGACAGAAGTTTAGCAGCTGCTGCACCCTGAAGAAAAGCAAGATGTGTAAACGATATGGATTAAACAGAGACCAGAAAAAGTCACTGGAAAAATAGGGTAGTTTGGGAATGATTTAGCTTCTTTCCAATTTTTGGAGGCTGTGTGGTAAGGGACCAGACCCTGCTTTGGTGCTGCTATAAAATGAAGAAGGACAACTGAAAGCTCTGGACGTGGCAATAGGCATTTAAAGAGAATTATCCAGTCTCAGGTCGCCTTTATGGGGACTGAATAATACACTGACAGTAAAGGGAATTCAGACTACTACAAGTTAAGTTTACAGCAGAAAGACAGACCTTCAACTGAGTCTGTTTAGGAACTTAAAAATCTAAGCAAATAATCTTAGAGATTTTATACTGACCTCAAATGAGCAACTGCACTGAGAAAGATGTTAAGACATTTCTCTATATGGCAAAAATACTGTTGACAGCAAAAGAAATGGAGGTGTGAAGCTGTAGCTTGTTGGAACAAAGAAACTAAAATAAGCTATGGACTGAGCCTGCACTTTTCCTCCTGTTTCTCTGAAGTAGTCTTGGCAAAAGACAGTACTGTTAACAGCTCTGTGTACATGGCACACATTGTCATTACAAACAGCTTAGATGGAATGGAAAGGTCTGAGACTGTTGTGGGTTGGTGGGCATGAGTTTTGGGGATTTGCAGGGAAGCACAGACCTTTGAGACATAAGATATTTTCTCCAAATGAAGGACTGGTGGAAAACAGTGGCAGAAATGTGAAGCAGCCAGCCTGCCTGAGAATTCAGAGCCTAATCCGTCTGTGCTGCTGCATCATTTAACAGAGACTTGCCAAGAAGGTGGCGTTGGCTGTTAGATTCCTGTCAGTGATTTACAGATGAATAAGGAAATCAATGATGCAGAAGGAAAACAGAGTACAGTTGGGCCCTGGGAAAGCTCACCATGTTCATGGCCATGGCTAGAATGGGAAACGATGACCAGGACAACAGTCTTACATCCTATGGGGTAGTGCCACAGTGTTGGTGGCCCTCATCACAGCCTCTTGGAAGGAAAATCTTCAAAGGCATAGAGCTCCCAGCAGAAGGGCACTGAATCAGCTGTATTGCTTGGGAAAGCCTCAAAGAGGTCATGTAACCAGCAAATGGCAATTGCTGTGCCCCAGGACAATCAAGAGCCTGAGTTAATGGACCAACTGCAGCTGACAGTGTCATGCTGATGTTCTGGGTGAGACCCCTGTGTAGCCGACTCAACACTGCCCATTTGTAGCTTCCACATACGTAATTTTATTTCAGGTGCAAGACTCAGCTGCTGAAGCAGAAGTGAATGCTATGGGATACCTGAGGGTAGGGCCATCAGGACAGTGCAGGACTTGCAGGAGAACCACAATCTTGTGCAGCAGGACCTGGAGGGGTGGTGACACTCCATCGTGCCTACCATAGCATTAGTCACTGGTCTATTGGCAACCGAGCCCTTCCCTTGGGGGACTTTGGTGGTGGATTAAGAAGCATGCGTTAAAGTATCTCCATCTGCAGGTGGTGTCTGGTGTCCTGTTATATCCCTGGAGATCTAGGCAGTGTGGAGGCTAGGATCACTTGGCTGGGACATCTCTGCTTCTGTGAGCCGAATCTCTTTCTGTGAACTCCACTGCCTGGAACAGGAACTGGGACACCCAGTGCTCCTAGGGACAGATATACTCATCTCTGAATAGATCCCTGTATTGCAGTTTAATTTTTATTACCATTGGATTGGTTAGGGGAAACATATATGTGTTGCAAGAGGCAAACTCTTGCAAATCCAGTTGCAAGGGGCATTTTGAAGCATTGGTTATGTTGTGTTCCTGTGAAATGGAGAGAACTGTCCCATCGCCAGACCCCAGGGAAGCAGAGTACTCTAGGATACCCTAGCTCGGACCAACCATAAAGCCTGCTGTTCTGAATGGTAACACCAGTGAGTGCCAGGAAAAGCTGCTCACTGGACTTGATGAACCCATAGTAGTCTTCCAGAGGGGCAATAGGTATGTGAGTGAGGAGACATGGAGCAGTAACACCAGTTATTGCTGTTCACACTGCAGGTTGTGCAGTTTTCCTATGAAAACTTTTTGTATTTGCGTTGCTTAATTGGTACAGTGTAATCTACAACATTTTTCCAGCATCTGTAGCCTCACGTACCTTTTAAACATGGCTCTTAAATCATCCTAGAGACTTTACACTGGGGTGAATTTCAACCTGCATGCCTGAGGTGGATTCTTTTTTTTGCCCTTGGAAACATCGGCATTTAAGTGATTGAGTGGATGGACTAATAGTGGGAATTAGGAAAGCAAGCCCTGATTCTACAACGTACCAGGAATAAAAATTGAACAATAGTATAGCATCATAGTCTGGTTCTGCTTTTCATCTTGGCTGTTCTTCCGGGAAAGAGAGCAGAACAGCAGAGTTTGCTGGAAAGAATGTATGTTCCTTTTCACAGCTTTTTTGTATGTTCATCTGCAGTTTAGGGGATTTAGTGATCCAAATGAAGGTGGAAAATATCCTTAACCTCTCCCCAAGCCCAGACAATGTGTATGAAAACATATACACCCACATGTATTTTTTTCTTGTAGCGGAAATAGCGAGAGTACACTTTGCTGCTCGACTTAATCTCCTTTTCCCTGAGAAGGTTCAAACTTTTTCTTAAACAAATGAGTCGTTACTAGTGACAGGTGGGTTGGAATACTTTCTCTCCCACTTCATTGGCATCTTTGTAGTGGATAGCTCTGGAAACATCTCTGTTATCATTTACTCCTAAGCACATGCCCAAGGCCCAAAGGCTTTCATAGAAAACAGAAATTTCCTGCTTTCTAAGTCACCCTAGGAGTGTCGCATTACGATGTCAAACACAAAAAGAAAACCACAGTAAAGAATTTGTTGCTAGCAAAATGTCTGTATTAAAATACAAAGAAAACTTTCCTGTTGGGAACAGTAATTAATAGACTCTCTTTTGTATTGGCACTAACAGCACTGCAAGTTCCATTTTCCAAACAGACCACAATGTTTTTGAGGAATAAATTCCACCAGTGTCATTCTGAACCTCAGCCTAAAAAACATAGACGTCAAAGACAATAGTAGTGTGCATCCTAGCAATTTTCCAGCATCATTACACTGGTTTACTGCATCAGATGTGTGTTATATCTGGACACTGCTTGGTGATGGCAAGCTCACAGGGCTTCCTATTGTGTTTGAGAAGGCAATGATTGCATTGGAGCCCTTGGAGTTCTTGTTCATACCCAGGATGTCTACACTGGTTTGCTCTGGCTCGGTTTTCCTGAAGATGTTTTTCATGGTTGACTGAAAGTTGTTGGTCACAAAGCAGTAGACAATGGGGTCCATGCAGCTGTTGAGGCTACTCAGAGTCACTGTCACATGGTAGACGATCAGGCTGACATCATGGGGCATGCCTGGGTTGACGGAGATTGCTACCTGTCGCACATGAAAAGGAGTGAAGCAGATCATGAAGATGATGAGGACAGTGATAAGGAGTTGCACAGCCCTCATTCTCCTCTCCCGACTCTGGTGCATAAGGCTGGGCTTGGACAGAGCACACATAATCCTGGTGGTGAAGAAGATGATTATGATGAGGGGGAAGAAGTACTCACAGACCATCAGGACCAGAATCTTGGAAAGGCAGCACTCAGCAAACTGTATTGCCATGGTCAGGATGGAGAAAGTCACCACAGTGGCAAACATCCAAATGAAGACGCAGATCCCTTTGGCACAGGTGGGGTTCCTCCATTTACGTGAGGCCTCCACCTGTACAATTGCCAGATAGCGGTCAACGCAGATGCATGTCAAGAAGAGGATACTGCAGTACATGTTGACAAAGTAGCCAAAGATATGAACCAAGGAACAATTCAGGCAGTCCCCTGCACTATAGAACATGATGATCCGGACAGGCAAGGAAAAGCCCACCAAGAGATCAGTAACAATCAAGTTGATGGTGTAAATAACAGAGGTGGTTTTTGTCTTGGTACGGAAGCAGAAGACGTACAGCGCCAAGCTGTTCAGCACAACACCCACCAGGAAAATTATGGCATTGACTATCATCAGGGCAATCCACAGGCTGTAAAATTCTGTGTACAGTTCTTTGTCATGGTGGATGAACTTGGAGAACAAGTAGATGCTGGAATTGGGTTGCTGGGTGGAGTTCATAGAGTCAAGGGCTGGCAGTTGGGTGGAAGAAGTTGTCATGGTCACTGACTTCCCAGTGATCTAGAAGAAAAGAAACAGAAGTTTATTGATTGTTATGTCAGCATTCCTTAGGGCTTAAAATGTTGTCACCTAAGAACATTTTAACCAACATATTTTTACATCTTCAGTGGTTCAGTACATACAGCTGTACTCTCCAAGTGTCTTGTCTGTCAATAAGGGATTACCAATAATCGCTAGGGAAATACCTGGGTATTGTGATTTTAAGGCCTAAGCAAGAACAGAGAAGTGAATTATGCCAAAGGGAGCAAAAGAGAAGGGAAAGTCAGGGGAACGTACACACGCTCATGTTTGAGCCAGCCACATGGCCAATGGCCCAGAGAAACAGACAAGGTTGCTGAGTCCAAGGGTGCGTTGATGCTCATGGAGGGCACAGGCCATTTTCTGCTGTGACAGGGAGGGTCAGGCCAATATGAGGCTCCTATCAACTCTTGTTTCCTGAACATGACACTTATTCTTTTGAGTCCTTCCTCCATTGGAGCAGCTTCTTCCTGACTAGAGGCTCTTCCTGCCCTGCCATAGGAGTGGCATAGTGCTGGCAGCCAGAAGACATTTGCCCAACCTATTGGCTCAACCGTAGCTCCAGCATCTGAATCCTAAAATAGCACATCCCTTCCCTTGGCCAGGTGATCCCATTAGAGAGTTACGTGCAGCAGCATTTTCAGGAACTGTAAGACTTTCCTAAACTCAAAGGATGGCTGAATTTTCCAGGAAAGCAGAAGCAGGTTGTGTGGCATCTTCTAGAGATCTGCACATGCAGCAACAGCAGCCGGGAGATTTCAAACCAAGGGTGTCAGCCACTACTCCTGCCAGGGTTTGACAGTTTAATTTGCAAATCATTCCTGACTTACACACTATTTTAAACTGATTTGTATATTAAAAAGATAAAAAAAAGCCCAATATATACAGAGACTTGGCTGGTTTCAATAAAAATAAATGGTTGAAAAATGTCTGGAATATCTCAAAGCAGCTGAACAGGACTTTGAGGTTAAAAAAATCAGCTTGAATCAGCAGAGAATGATGCTGAAAGACTTGAGTTATGAGGGTTTGAAATCCATGCTACCAAAGAGCCAAGGGAGGAAGGACTAGGAGACAAGGAGCTGCAAACATCTTCCCAGCACTCCCAGGAACTGCAGTGTGCCTAATCTGCGTGTCTCAATAAGGAAGGCTTGAATTGCTGGGGGAGTCTGGATATCTAGCTCCCCCAGGCATGCCCCATCCTCTGGCAGCTGGCTTTCTGCCTGCACTAGTCGTTTTTGCCGCTTATGAGGATCAGGAGGATGGACCGAAGGTGTCCCATTCCCTGTGAGATGCTTCAAGCTCTTAGTGACCACATGCAAAGTGGAGGAGGATGCTACCTACGTCAGAAGCCTTCTAGTGAAAAGTGGATCCTCAGGAGAGTTCCTGCTGGCCAAAAGCAAATGTTTTGCTGGGACAGTCCTAACTGCATTTAAAGAGCATCACAGCAGCTCTGAGCCTGCCTGACAAGTGCCAAAGCCTTTTCCTGCCCAGCTACCAAGAGCTTCCTTGTTGGGCTAATGAACTACAACTCCCTGCTGGCTGTAACTCTCAAGCTCTTGAACTCCTCCACACCTCCTGACAAAAGCAGAAGGCCTCCAGCTCTCTGGAATAAAGAGCTGGAGAACTGAGATTTGGGAGAAGAGATTCCCAAGTCTCTGTGCATTTGCTGGACACAGCACTCCTGATACGTGTCACCAGTACTGAGCAGAGGGGAAGGATCAGCTCCCTCAACTTGCTGGCAATGTTCCTTTTGAGGCAACCTGGGAGGCCGTTGGCTTTCTTTTTTTACAAGGATGCATTGCTGGATCATGTGTAACTTGGCATCCACCAGGACTTTCAAGTCCTCTGCAAAACCACTTTCCATCTGTTTGGTGCATTCCTCCCATCCTGTTAAAGCCTCTCCTGGACCCTTTCCTGTCTTTTAACCTTCTGAACAGTGTGGTCCCAAACTGCACGCCTCACCAGTGATAATTTGATGGAGGTGATAACTCCCCTCCGTCTTGCTGACCATGAAACTCCTAATGTAGCACAGTATGTACTTTGCCTTGGCTGCAATGCACACTGCTTGCTGGTTCTTTTTCAGCCTAAGATCCACTGTAACACCCGTGTCCTCTTCAGTAGAGCAGTTCCCAGCCTGTACTGATGAATGGGGTCATACGCTATGGCCAGGCAGGCTTCTGTGGAGGACCAAGTGACCAAAGTGTGGGTGCTTTCCTGCCCCTTCTCACTTTGGAGAGGGCTGGGAATGAGATATATTTGGTAAATGGCCAACATTCAAGATCAAGTGTCATCATGGGATGCTACAGTCTAGTCATGGTTATTTTGTATGGCTCATTCAAGCCAGGTGAGCATGAAGCAGAACATTTGTTGAGCAAAAGCAGAGATTAGGACTGAGAATTTAGAAGGCCAGGTGTGAAGTTCCCTCTGGAAATTCTTGGAGAAGTGACTTTGCCATCATGACTGATCTTACGTCTGTTGGCCTGGAGTCTGATGATTGCTCTAGTTTCTTCTTGCCTCTCATCTAATCTATGGAAGTAGTGTGAAAGAAAAAGCTGGATTTTAATATCCTTGAACTTGAAAGGATATTTATATTCAAATGGCTTTTTTTTTGGTTTAGGTAGCCACTCAAACCCAATGGAATTGTCCATTGGAATGACTGGTGCTCAACCATATAGCCCTCCTTAGATCAACCCCAGTTGCAGATCATGCTGCAAGACTGAAACCATGAAGCCTGAGGTCAGACCACCTGCAATGTCCCAAAGAACTGCTGGGCAAAGAGGAGCAATCCTAACTTCTGTCCACTTTTGCACTTAGGCTGTCTCCAGAAGCAACTGGACATTGGAACATCTCGTGTTTCCAGAATGACCAGATTACCTCACCCTGCACTGAACTCCAGTGGCAGCCAAAGCAGCACACATATTCATATTATTTTGTCTGGATCTGATTGAGCCTGCAGGCTCCTGGGGGAGAGTTGTCTCTACATTTTGCGCTAATCACTCTCTGAGTGAATAAACAGGAAAAAACTGGACCCAAGACTGGCTGAAGGTAGTGGAATTGCAAAGTCTGGCACCTGAGAAAGATGCGTGGGGAGGATGCAGAATGCTGGCCCATTTTCTAATGGTTTTCTAATATTCTCATCATCTGATCTTCTCTGTTTGTTTGTTTTGCTCTTTAATTACAAAAACAAACTGAAAGGAGCAGATTCCTGGACCTACTCCCAGATTTCTCTTTGCAAGACGCTGTCAAGAGGAGCACTGTGGAAGCCACTGCACTGGTGCAAACCAAGAAATAAAGACTTTGTTGCCCCTTGAGTGCAGTGTATGCTTGCATGTCTGTGTTCATACAGATAGTTGAGCAAGGGGAGAAGACATGCTAAGACGTCCTTAGCATGCTCTAGAATGTATTGAGTTGCCTGTGGATTGTAATTTTAAGGCACTAGCCATTTGCCCTGATTTTATGTCTTGTTAGTAGCTCACCTCTGCTGGGAAGTTTTTCTTCAGGCTCAGATCCTTTACTATGAGCACCTGATATTCATCTTACATTTTTCCTTTCCCGCCTCAGTGAAATCTGTAACTCAAAATGAATTCAAATGTTCCTAATCCTCACAAATGCTATTGTTGTATGTAGGGCACTTTACAGACTAATAGAAAAAGATCGCCTCTGAGTACTGTCCATACACAGAAATTAAAATCATCAGCACATGCAGTGTGATGGCTTACGTAGTAACCTCTTCCACTGAGCCCCATGTGCACGGAATTAAATTCCAGGTACAGTAAACAGCTAAAAAACAGGTAGGATTTTGCTTGCCGGATTGAATATGTGAGGGAGGTGAGGGAGGAGCTGGATTAGAGTTTGTGTCTTTTCCCAGTCCATCGCTGCCCTCTCTGAACTCAAAATCCAAGCAACTACATGAGAGAAGTCCCAACAAATTTAATTAATTCTGAAGATTCCCTCACTGACAGGCTGTGGAAAAGCTGCTTCTTGTGCTGCAGTGGGAAAAGTCTTCCTCTAATCAAATTGTTACGATGGATGTTTGGGTGAATGGCCTTTTCCTTTCGTTGTGGGACTGCCCTCATCTCATGGCTCACAAG